AGAGAGAGAGAGAGAGAGAGAGAGAGAGAGAGAGAGAGAGAGAGAGAGAGAGAGAGAGAGAAAGAGAGAGAGAGAGAGAGAGAGAGAGCAACAGGAACCGACAGGGCGACAGAAAAACAGCACTTTCAACTGTAATAGCAGCGAAGGAATAAGAAAACTGACATCAGCTCAGACAAAGTACAAATGCCTTTTTGGAGCGAGTCTCAATCACCACAGGAGAGAAGCAAGCAAGGGACAAAACTCACTTAGAACCTCACCAAGTACCTCACCAAGTACCTCACCAAGTACCTAGCAGTCAAAATCGCATACTACCAAGAGGTCCAAAACACCAAGTACCACAAGTACCAAGTACCAAGTACCGGGTAGGCAAAGTCAAATACACCAATTACCAAGTACCAAGTAGCAGGTAGGCAAAGTCACCACGCAGCAATTAATCACAGCCACCAAGTGCCAAGTCCCAAATCGTCAAAATCACCGAGTACCGGATAGGCAAAGTCACCACGTAACAACTAGTGAAAGTCACCAAGTACCACCGAGTACCAAGTAGACAAAATCAACACTCAACTGAAAGGGTCACATACCCAAGTACCAAATAAAAGGTAGGCAAGGTCACCACGTACCAGTTAGTCAAAGTCACCAAGTACCTGGTCACCACGTACCACCAGGTACCAATTAGTCAAAATCGCCACTCAACTTCATGGTCTCATAGCTGGAAGAGAGGGCAGATATACAACACCAAGTACCAAGTAGTCAAAATCAACACTCAACTGAAAGCTTAAAAGCGTAACACACCTAAAACCAAGTACCAGGGGTAGACAAAAAACACAAACTAATTAGTCAAAGTCACCACGTGCCACCAACCCCAGTACCACCAAGTACCACCAACCCCAAGTACCACCAACCCAAGTACCACCAAGTACCACCAAGTACCAAGTAACCATCACCACTCAAGTGAAACATAGCTGGAAGAGAGGGCAGAGATACGTCTGTACACTCCAAAATGGTCTCGCTGCGTTGAGAAAGCTGATGTCGAACCACGTTCAAATACACTAGTGAAATCCCCACCCGCCCTATCTATCTATCTATCTATCTATCTATATCTATCTATCTGTCTATGTATCTTATCTAACTATGTATCTGTCTGTTGTCTGTCGCTTTAACCATCGATATGTCAATAACTCTGACTATCTTTCTATCCTTCCTATGTACCTCTATGATCCATCTTTCTATCCTTTCTCTGTATCTTGGTTACCTGTCTGCGCATACACTTCCACATGTATCCACCCGCCCTTCTTGTCCTCCATTTCCCATGCTTTCCCCTCTATCAATGCCCCTCTCTCCTACGCCTTCTAAATCCTAGTCTCCTCCATTCAGTGCATGTCTCCGCCTCAATGAATGCATCTATCTATCCCACGACTTCCACATTCTCGTCATTTTCCCAATTATCTTCTCTTCTCTCTCCTTCACACTTCCTCCTAGTCACCACCGACATTCTGTGCATCTATCTACTACGCGACCAGCAGTCCCACCGACTTCATCCGTTCTTGTCTAACCGTGGGCTATTGACAAATAGCGAAGCCACTCACGCCCGTAAGTAATTACAAAGAAGCTTCCTCAGGCTGATGAGGCAGACTTCACCCGGTTGGATGGAACCTCCCTCCGTGGGGTTAGATGGAATCTCCAGCAGTGTGGCCGAGTAGCGCGAACCCAGTCGAGCCCCACGGTTAGATGAGTAATCTCCCGCAGCTCAGATCGAAAGTAGGAGGAGAAAAAGCTAAAAAGTGGATAAGAGGCGAATGCCGGCTTCAGCCGAATAGAACGACGCCCCCAGCAGTTCGGACGAATAGCGCGAACCCAGTCGAGGCCCACGGTTAGATGAGTAATCTCCAGCAGCTCAGATCGAAAAACCCGTGAATAGGAAGAGAAAAAGCTTAAAAGTGGATAAGAGGCGAATGCCGGCTTCAGCCGAATAGAACGACGCCCGGGCATATTATAGCCGTATCTATTCTATAAGTCGCACCAAATACAGCTACAAGATACAAACGCCAGGGCATTCGGTTCGGGAGAAGACGGCAAAAGCACAAGAAAATAATAAGCAAATGCAGTTATACAATGACCGCCGGGCGTTCTATTCGGGTGGAGATGGTAATTGCAAACGAAAATGAAGGGAAAGCAAATATTAAGAAGACGCTAAATAAGCGGATGGGAAGAGTAGTAGTACGTTCGTAATAAAAGAAAATCCAAAAAAAAAAAAAGAAGAGATCAAGAAAACGGCGCGAAGTGGACGGATAACGGGGAAGAAAAGGCGCGAAATGGACGGATAAGGGAAAAAAAAAAAAAAAAAAAGAGAGAAGAAACAAGGCGCGAAGTGGACGGATAAGGACAAGGAAAAAAAGAGAAGTAAGCGGATAAGAAGAAGAAAAGCAAACAACACAAGACTGCAGGCTCCTCCAGCGAACAACAATTACCCGGCAGTCGGTCTTCAACTATAATACAACGACTGTCCATACGACCCCAAACAAAAAACACACACAAAAACCAAAAATCACCCTTCCATCGACAACCAAAAAAAGAAAAGGTTAAAACAAAACAAAAAAAAAAACCTCCAGCGAACAACAGTTACCCGGCAAGATTACCCACGTAAATACTTCGACGAGTCCTTAGGTAAGTTTATTCGACGACGAGCACCGTCGTGGGACGCTTGGGGAAGAAAGTACTGTGGATGGTAATCCCGGATATCTGCAGATAAATGGACTTTTCAAATAGTCCAAAACCTGAATATCTCTAGAAACGGCGCGAGGGAAAGAAACTGCCAAGAAATCCAAAGACTCACCAGAGATATCGAGAGAACAGCGTCCGAAACGTTTTACAAAGTGGCGGGCCGTATAAATCGTAGAACTACCGCCTTTTCAGAACCAGGGATTTTTTCGGATTTTTTCGGAATTTTTTTGGAGAAAATATTTTTTAGGGGACAATTCCTAGATTTCAGGAGATACTATCTGGATCTCAGAAGGCAGTATCATATCAGGAAGCTTTTTACCGCTTTTTCAGGAGACCTTCTCATAGATCAGAAATCGGTTGGTACTTACCGGGAACCTCTAGGATAGCGGATCCTGCAGAGTTACCGCGCTTTTCTTTCCTGTACTTTAAACAGATCGCATAAGTTACCGCCTTTTCAGGAAACCCTTTCATAGATCAGAAATCGTTTTGGAACTTTCAAGAAGCCAAAGTACTTACCGGGACCTCTAAAAATTAGCGAGTTTTGGACTGAAGATAGCGGAGTTACCGCGTCCAATTTTCCTTTAAATTTTTTTATTTTTTATTTTTTACTAGCGGCACTTCGGGAAAAGTGGGATTGCAGTAGACACGACTGGAGAACTAAGGGTGGATAATCTAGTATATATTAGATAGGAACTTACTCTCACGTCATCTCGGATTTGCCCCCTCCTGATGAGGCTAGAACTGGCTCTAGCCGAAACTGGTAGAGGGAAGCCAGCTGCCATCGCCACACGGCTGATGGCATAAACACCATCTACGGTGTTTTCTCTTGGAGCCTACCTTCCTATCATATGAAGAGTCGTACTCTTGGCCTGTCACTCCTATTTTTTTAAGAGTTATACTGAAGCATTTCCGAGCTTCACATATTTTGGCATGTTGTTTAATCAGCTCCACGCTGGGGTTAGCATCGCTTTCTCTCCAATCCAAAAAGTTACCCGGCAGTCTCCTCATTTTTTTTTATTTTTTTTTTCCTTCCATTGTTTTGTCAAAAACGTAAAACCTCAACGTGAACGTCGTGCATCACCTCAACAGTCCCTCCTAGTCTATT